AGTAATGCCTACCAGAGCTAATGCTCTATTGGCATAACTTTCAAGAATCCAGGGTTACCTGCTTACCCTGATGAGACATCAGAATAAGTTCTTTGGAAGATAAATCCAAAGTGTTAGAAACACTTAGTCCTTTTGAAATCCATGCAATGTGATGAGATATGCCAGATACTTTCGATATTTACAAATTTTGGCAGATACATGTCAGGGAGGTAAAGAAAAAGTACTGAAGTCTACAAGGGATGTGTCTGTGTGTCTTTGTGTACACACATATACCATGGGCCTGGAGTCAGGAAGACCTACATTCAAATCTAACGTCAGCTGCATAACCCTGGGCAAGTCACTTAACTTCTATTTGATTGTAAACTGCTGAGCACGTAGGGCCATATAAATCTTAATTATTATTATAAGTCTAGCTACTCCAGCACTTAGGTCTTTTTTAAAAATTTTAGTGTTTAAATCTGTAGCCACAGGAGAATTGTAGATTGAACATATGTAATTTTGCCATTTGTCAATTCATCTGGGCATATTTTCTTTGAGTGATGAGTGTAAAAATGACAGCTAACATTTATATAAGTACTTAAACTTTCACAACTTATTTTATAGACAATATGCTAGTATTAAAAAGTGTATTTGGAATCAGAGAACCCGGGTTCAAATTCCAGCTCTTCCACTTATTGTGTGACCTTAGAAAAGTCATATGACATGACATATGACATAAAGATGAAAGGAATAATTAAAAAAATGTACGACAAACCCAGAATCCAAAAAGTTCTTGGTAGATATAAAAAATGAACCAAATCTATTAAGATGAAATTTGATGACGATAAATGTCAAATCCTATATTCAGGCTCAAAAATAAGCTGAATGGATAAAGGATGGGAGATACATGGTCAGACAATATTTCATATCAAGAGGATAAAGGGATTTCAATGGAGTTCAGATGCAAATCAATGTAAAGTGGAAACCAAAGCAGGTGATACATTCGTTGATTTATTAGAAAGTGTTCAGTGTACCTTATTCTGGCCAGGTCATATCTGGAAATGTTGTATCCCTGCTTTCGAAGAAAACATTGACAAATGGAAGTATATCCAAAGGAGTTTGACCAAGATATTGAAGGGACTGGAGACCATGCCATAAAAGAATTGATTAAATGGACTGAAGAGACTGTTTAATATGAATGGAAGACAAGAATGGACATAATAGTTGTCTTCATGTATTTGAAGGGCTATATCATAGGGGAAAGGGATTTAAATTTGTTCTACTTTGCACCAGAGGACAGTAGTAGGAAGGTATTTGCACAGAAGGAAAAACAATCATTGGAGTTAAACAGAAGTGGCAATGGGCTACTTTAGGATATAGTGAGTTCTTTTTTAAAGCGATGGGGTGGATCAGTGGGTTGAATCAGATGACTCTGATATCCCCTGGACCTCTCCAACCACAATTCTTATTAGATTCAGCCCATCATTCTAGGATCTATTTTTGGATCCTGAGGGTATCATTCAACATCTTATCTCGACCTACCAGTTTCCTAGGCATGTAACCTTTGGCAACCTCATTGAATTAAATTTCACAAACACCTACTACATGCCAAGTACTACCATAGGCACAGGGGACTATAAAGACCCCCAAAAACCACCCAGAATCTCCTTACTGGGGTTGGGGGATGGAATACAATAAGCACACAAGTAAATATAAGTTACATACAAAATCATTTCAAGAAAGAGAGAGAATACTAATTGGGAGATCAGCTTCATTTGTTAAATAGCAATAATGCCCTTCACTCTTCTTACAGTTGATTCTAAGGAAGATAAATGAAATAATACAAGTAAAAGCATTTTGTAAACTATAAAACACTATGAAAATAAGAATCTGGGTTTCAATTCACAGGGCTTTTGTAAGTACCAGGATAACAAAGCATCAACATAATTGATATGGCAGGTGTAGGATGTGATTTTGAAAGCAGTATCAAAAGCAGCATGGAATACTTACAGTCTTGTGTGCCAAGGAGGAAGGAACATTGATACTGATTTGATTAATTTTATTATAAAGTATGCTTTATAGTCTAGTGTTGTTTTGTATCAGTCTAATATTCCACAATTTTGTTAAAAATGGGTATACTATGATACTCACATAAGGCATTACAGGAAGTCTTATACAGAGTAAAAGAAAAATATATCAAAAAGGGAAGTAATAGTGGTAATCCTTTCAAGAAGCCTCATTCCATCCATCTTGAAAAAGAATGACAGTGTGAATGAGAAATGCTAAATGGGGGAAGGGGGGATTTTTTTTCCTAAAATGGCCTTTATATTTTAACTGCCTAGAAGAAAATCTCAGAAAAGGGGGGGGGAGGAGGTCAAGTTTTCAAAGACATTGGCAAACTTGACACAGCACTTAAGTGATTTCTTATCAAAAGATAGCATGCAGAGAAGGAAAGCCAAGTAAGTCATTCAAAACATGACAATTTCCTGTTCCACTCTCATGCCACAGCTTAGAAACATAGATTTCCAACTGGAAAGTACCTTAGAGGTCATTAAGGCCAACCTCTCTCATTTTCCAGATGAAGAAACTGAGGCTTGAGAGAGGGAAAATGACTTGCCTGGGGTCACAGATTTAATACATGTCTGAGGCAGGATTTAAACTCAGGTGTTCCTGACACTGAGCCCAGCATTTTATCTACACCATACCACTATTCTCAACCAGCCACAGTAAGTGAGGCAGCAAGGCCGGAGACCGGAAATCAGAGTTTGAATCCTATCTCTGACACTAGATGTATGACCCTGGGCAAATCAACTTCATCTAGCAGACTGGGGTGGGAATAAGACTAATACTCATCCTACCCATCGATACTCATAAGGTTACCATGAGGAAAATGCCATTGAAATGTAAGCTTTGGCTACTACTGCTGCTACCCTACTCCTCTACTAAAGAACAATACCAATGATTAACATTTGTCAAACACATTCAAGTTTGCTACCTACATTACCTGATCTGATTTTCACACCAGCCCTTAGAGGTTACGCGTTATTGTTCCTGTCTTAACGATGAGAAAATTGAGACCCAGAGACACTTAATGATTTAAGAACCACGTACATATTCTGGAAGTTTTTCCTTTCCCAAAATTAAGATAGAGTGGGCAACATCATAGTTTTTTCAGAAATTTAAAAAAGAATAATTATAATATTCTTCCCCAAATTATATCATCTTCTTGCTCCTACTAAGTCTGTTACCTCATATATGAAATGGCAGATAACCCTTCCAGGACTTTACTCCAGCTGCTACTTCTTCAGGGATACCCAAGAATCAGGAAGTAGGAAGCTAACAACCATCGTTATCGATTATTATAAGCCTGTTACATGCAAAACCCCGTGTTTACTTCAAGAAACATACTTCCTCTGCAGAGTACTATGGATACACTGTTGTTTCTTTCTCAGTGTATTAGCATGGAATCCATGAAGTCACATTACTGATATGCAAAATATAAGTGTGAACAAGGAAGAAAAACCAGAAACTATATACTAAAGTCCATATTTCTCAACCAGAATAAAGTGAGATTATAATCTCCTAGTTAAGAGCTTTCCATTTGGGATAAAAATTATACCCCTTTATTGCTCATCAAAGAAATTCCATTATGTCAAACTCTTGCGTGTCATATCTCCCAGTGCAAGTAACAATATTTTCAAAAGAAAAAAGACCAATAGACATAATGACCAGTTATCTCTAGGCAGCGGCACTATGTAGTTTTGTAATCTGGGATGAGATAACTCCTGAGCCTCATTTTCCTAATCCGGTAAAACAGACAGACTCTTCATTGAAAGGACAAGTACATAAGCTGAAGCTTAAATACTTTGGCCACATAATGAGAAGATGGGACTCATTGGAAAAGACCCTGATGTTGGGAAAAATTGAAGGCAAAAGAAGGGGATGGTAGAGGATGAGATGGATAGATAGTGCCATGGAAACAACACACATGAACTTGGACAATTTTGGGGAGATAGTGGAGGATAGAAAGGTTTGGTGTGCTATGGTCCATAGGATCACAGAGTCAGACAGGACTGAACTACTGAACACAAAATGTTGATCATTGCAATCAAATGAGATTATGGATGCTATGGTACTTTCTAAATGCTAAAGCACTTTATGAATGAAAGATAGAATACTCTCCTAATGAGTTTCCAATGGTTCATGTCATCATAATGGATTTAGAACAGGAGGAAACCTCACTGGGTCATCTAGTCCAATCTTGTCATTTTAACAAATGAAGGCTCTGAAGCCTAAAGAGGTTAAGTGATCTTTCCTGAGATTACACAGCTTATTAAGTAGCGGGAGCCAGGATTTACACTCACATCCCTGGCTCTGACTCCAGTATTCTGCTCTATAGTTACCCTTGAAAGAAGCAGAATTAAAAGAGAGGATAATTTTGTTGTTGGTGAGCGGTTTCAGTCATGACTGACTCTTTGTGGGCCCCATTTTGGGGTTTTCTTGGCAAAGATATTAGAGAGGTTTACCATTTCCTTCCCCAGCTCATTTTACAGATGAGAAACTGAGGCAAATAGAGTTAAGTGACTTGTCCAGGGTCACACAGCTAGTAAATGTCTGGGGTCACATTTGAACTCAGAAAGATGAGTCTTCCTGATTCCAAGCCCAGTGCTCTGTGCACTGCACCAACTAGCTGCCCTCAAAGGAGAGGATCTTCACCAACAAAATAAGCACAGTGTAATCATCAAATAAAGCTGACTCATATGTGCCTTATTTGAAACAAAGATAAATCGACATTCTGTACCAGTGATTCTCTAAGGCAGATCCTTCAGATACTTAAAAAACACAGTGCTGGAAAATTCTGAGTTAAAGTCAGAAGAAGGATTTCTATCATGGCTTTAATCTAAAAGGGCAAGGTGGAAGAAAATGCCTGGGGATAGTGTATTTGACCTCAGTGCTATGTAAACATTGATTCTTTTCCTAAAAAAGAGGGAAATACTAGAAACTGCTCGCTTACTAAAAAGGACAGACACTGCATTGTTTTTAATTGACCAGTCATCCTTTGGCTTTGCCATTTTACAAAATGAAGTATGATTAGAGACATAAATAGGATTTTTTTTAAAAAAACTACACAAACCACCAGGAGATGAGGACCAGGTCACTGCAATAAAGGTTTAAGAAACTCAAGTCTTCATGATTGACTCATCACTTTCCAGAAAAATCAGCAAAAATGAGAGTAGATCATGATCTTAGAAGAATTCATATATATATCAGAATCCCATCATTCAGAAGCTCCTTGACATAGCAAACTAGCTTTCTGCTCCTCTTACTGGGATTTGTTATTCTTCAGGGAGTCACTTCTTCTTTCTGACTTATATCTGGCAGTTTTGTTTGGAGAAAAGCATATACTTGGGGCCAGATTATGTTGGTTTCTGTTCCAGAGAAAGTTTCCAACACATCTTTATTCCTAAAAGGAAAAAAGAAGACAACAAATAAACACTTTTGATTTTTCCTAATCAATTATTCTATCTTGATTTTATTACATTTTATTTTTTAAATAAATACCTTGTTGGTTTTTTTTTAAATATCCCCATCACAGGGGCAGCTAGGTGGCACAGCAGATAGAGCACCAGCCCTGAAGTCAGGAGGACCTGAGTTCAAATCTGATCTCAGACCCAATACTTGACGCTTACTACCTGTGTGACCCTGGGCAAGTCACTTAACCCCAATTGCCTAAAAATAAAATTTAAAAATTAAAAAAATCTATATATATATATCCCCATCACTTTCAAATAATGCTGCCACTCAATAGAACTTTCCCTTAGAACAAACTAATAGTGTTAAGTAAAGTAAATCAGCATATTAACTACGTTTTACAATGTATACCTCATTCCTCCCCTATGGTAATATAATAATAGTAACCAGCACTCACATAGCTTATCAGATTTGCAAAACATGGTACAAATACTATCTCATTTGATCCTCAAAATGACCCTGTGAAGTAGGTGCTATTATTATCCTCATTTTATAGATGAGGAAATTAAGTCAAGCAGAGGTTAAGTGATTTGCCCAGAGTCCCACAGAAAGTAAGCGTCTGAGTCTGGATTTGAACTCAGGTCTTATGGACTCCAAGTCTCACACTCCATCCACTGTGCCGCTTTATGGCCCATCTCTCTGCTGAGAGGTCAGAACATGCTTCACTACTAGTCTTCAGTAGTCACCATTGACCAGAGTTATTTCTTTCAGTGATTTCCTTTACGTTATTGCGGTCAATGTGTAAATTGTTCTCCTGGCTCTACTCACTTTGCATCACTTCATATTAGTCTTCCTGTTTTCCCTGAACTCCTCATATTTATTGTTTCTTAGGGTGCAATAACACTGCGTTAAATTCACATTCAGGTATTTTTCAGTTGTGCCTGAACATGTCAAAAAAAAAACACCTAGTTTTCTCAGCAAAGATACTGGAGTGGTTTGCCATTTTCTTCTCCAGATCATTTTACAGATGAGGAAACTGAGGTAAACAGGGTTAAATGACTTTCCCAGGGTCATACAGCTAGTAAATGTCTGGCATCAGATTTGAACTCAGGAAGATGAGTCTTCCTGACTCCAGGCCTTGTATTCTATCCATTGCATTGCCTAGCGGCCCTAAATTCACACACCAGAAATTAATCAGCTAGTCTCCAAGCATCTACTTTCCCTCCAGTTCTTTGCCTGGAAGTACTTCTACAAATATTTTTGTATAAACTTTGCTGTCTGTCTTTGATCTCTTTGGGGTACATGCCTAGTAGTAGTGATGCTGAGTCAAAAGGTATAGACAGTTCCATGACTTTGCTAAAATAATTCCAAATTGCTTTCCAGAATACCAGCTTGGTTTTAAAAGTAGATGTGGTGCCCTGTGATCCGGTGAGGAGTGATTTTTCATAAAGCACAGGACTGACCACATCACTTCCATACTTCAACTCCACTGGTTCCTTGTTGGCTCTAACAACTCCTTTGTTTAGTATTTAAAGCCCCTCACACACTAGAGCCAACCTACCTCTCCAGCCTTATTAAACTTTGCTCTCGTGTATGCACTCTATGGCAAAGGTATGCCACCCCCTGAAAAACCTCTGAGTCCCCAGAACCAGATTCAAATGGAATTGGCAAATGTTTAACAAAATAAATAAAAAATACAAATTAGGTAATGTTAATTTGTGATTTCCTAAGTCAATCTGTGACTTGTGGGAATCTGTTTCTATTAATATCAGTACCCTATAGTATAGTCAAATTGGCCTTCTTGTCACATAAGACACTACATTTCCCATCTCCATGCCTTTATACTGGTTGTCTCTATCCCTAGAATTCATTCCTTCCACACGTCTGCCTCATAGAATCTCTGTTTTTCTTCAAAGCTCAGGAATTAAAGGCCTCATACTTCAAGGGAGTCGAAGTCAAAAGGAAAGGCTTATATATACCTAAATTTTCATAGCAGCACTTTTGTGGTAGCAACAAATTAGAAACAAAGTGGACATGAATCAACTGGGGAATGGCTGAATAAACTGTGATATAAGGATATAATGGTATTACTGCAGAATACCAAATGCCAAAGTCAGAGAAACACGAGAAACCTTGTATGAACTGATAAAGAGTGAAGAAAGCAAATCAAGAGAGCAATATAGGTAATGACCACAATCATGTAAATGAAGATGACATCAAAAGAAATCAGAACCTAGAGTAATATGATGACAGTCTTGATTCTGAGGACTGGGGAACAGACCATGTCACTCCCAGACTTGAACTCTACTGGCTCCTTATCACTTCTAACACATTTTCCTCCTTTCACTTATGAAGAGGGATACTACAAATGCAGAATGTTACATGTGCTGTCACACATGGTTAATATATCCATTTGTTCTGCTTAACTTTCTCTTTGTCACAAGGAAAAAAAGATTCAGTGCAAGAGGAGGGGCAGGACAAGATTAGAATGTTAAAGTGTTATTTGTATAATTTGTTACAATGTTATTTTGAATAGACAAAAGGCATCAGTAAAACTTCTTTAAAATCAAAATGCCTAATTACCTTACCTTTTTAAAGGTCATAAAACCCAAAGACAAAAAACCTGAGGAGAATGGAAAGGACACAGAAAGTCCCTGAGGTTGGTCCTCAGTATCATACTCAGAAGTAATGCCCTACAAGGAGAAGTAGATAAAAGCTGAACAAGGAGATTAAATGGAAAAATTCTAGAACTTTCTAGCCTTTCAAATCAAATGTTAGCTGTGTTGCTTCATTTTGTGTTCATATGAAGTATTGTGAATTCTCACAACACCAAATACACCTATATTCTAACATAAGTTAGTTTATTGGACTTTTCTCTTTAAAAAAAAAATAATTCTAGAACCAAATGAGTGGGGTTTGAATGGCACATTTTGCATTTTCTGTGCCAACCTTTTCATCTGTAAATACAGATGAGAACCGAATACATTCGCCCACTGTCAACATCCATGAATTAAAGAAAAAAGGAGGAGGTGGGTAAATAACTTACCGGTAATACTCCAGAACAGGTTTTGTTTGGGCCTCATAAGCCTTTAGTCTCTTGGTAACAGTTTCTGGTTTATCATCCTCACGCTGTATAAGAGGCTCTCCGGTAATATCATCAATGCCCTAAAAGGAGGGTCATGAAAGAAAACAATCAGTAGCCTTTTAAAACAGACAACTATCATCCACCAGTCTGAAACCTAAACCTCTTCACCATCAAATACGCCACAAGTTCCAAACGATATGCAAAACAAACAAACAAAATCTCACCACCATCCCATGTCTTTCACAATGGAATTGGCCAACAAGATAGAGTCAGGGTGCTATGAAACCCAATGTGACTGTAGTACAAAGCTGTCAGCATCACTCGAGAATATTGCAGACTGTAGCTCTGGGGGAAAACCTTTGTTTCAAAGTGACACTGTTCTGTACGTAACTAATCTATACATTTAACTTCATGTCCTGACAGTTTCAATTAAAGGTTGGGAACCTTGCCTTCCTGACTCTGGGAATATTATCCTTTTCCTTTGCTACTAACATTATACAATCTCTATTCATCCAGCCCTTTGGCCCTCAGAGGGAACTTCGGGAAGTATAGACATGGGTAAACCAATTACCCTTTTCTGTATTCACCCAGTGACCACCTCAGTTCAGGCCTTCATCACTTCTCACCTGGACCATACATAGCCATCCAAATGGATTCCTTTCCTCAGTTTCCTCCGCACTCCAAGCCATCCTTCAGTCAGCTGCCAACATGATTTTTCTAAAGCATGGATAGGACCATATACATCCCTCCAACACCACTCCAAGAGCTCCCTATTACCTCCAGGGTCAATTATAAAATGGTATGTTTTTGCATTTAAACCTCTTTGTAATCTGACCTCTTCACCTCTTTGCAGACTCCTCCCCTCTTTACACTCTATGCTCCTGCTACCCCGATCTACTTGCTTCCTCACACACAACATGCCATATCTCATTCTGAGTCTTTGTATTGGCTCTCTCCCATGCCTCAAAGGCTCTGCCCATTCACCTCCAGGTCCTACTTTTCCCTGGCTCCCTTCAAGGCTTAGCTCAACTCCCACCCTCCACAGGAAGCCTTTCCTGGTCCCTTTCAGACTGACTTCCACCTTCTCTATAGATATCCTGTGTGTTCCTCCTTATTTACAAGTGGTCTTGCCTCATTAGAATGTAAGTTCCTCGAGGGCAGTGAATCTTTTGACCTTTCTTTGTATCTCCAACACTTACCACAATACCTGGCATGGAACAAGTATTAAATATATGCTTGTTGACTAACACCAAGTACTCTCAGGACAAACCCTTTGGAAAAAGAGCTTTGGTCAAATGTAAGGGTTTCTAAGGCTCTGGGGACCATGAGATTTCACTGCCTGCAATATACAGCACACACTGCAAAAAAGGGCTTACCCATACAGAATTGTTAGAAGACTATGAGGAACCAAAGTGGGATGGAAAGGACGCTGAACTAGGAGTCCAATAACTTAGTCTTGTCTCAGCTCCACCAGGAACTAGCTTTGTGACCTTGGATAAGTCAAACTCTTGAAGATCAAGTTCTTTTCTCATCTATGAAAAGTGGACAGAGCACTGGGCCTGGAGTCAGGAAGACCTGAATTCAAATCGAGCTTCAAACACTTAAAAACTGTGAGACCCTGGACCAATCACTTAACTTACTTCTGCCTCAGTTATCTCATCTGTAAAATGGGGATAATAATAGCAACTCCCTCCCAGGGTTGTTGTGATGGGATAACGTTTGTAAAGTTCTATGTAAATAGTAGCTATTTAACAGCTTTAAACTATTCAAGTTTAGAATAGTACCAAGACTTTTGGAAAACTGTATAAACAAAAATATTGATTGTGGTACTTTTTGTGTTAGAAAAAAAAAAACAAGAAAGAAATTGCACTTAGAGCATGAAAAAAAAACCATAAAAAAATAAAAGTAATTAACCACAAGAAAAGATGAACATGAGGGCTCCAGAGGAATATAGGAAAACTGACATGAACTGATGCCGAGAAAAGAACTAAGTACAACAACAACAATATTTACATGGTGCTTTTACAAATATCTCTTTGGATCTGCACAACAGTCCTGGGTAGATGCTATTATTATCCCCATTATATAGATGAGAGAACTGAGGCAAACTGAGCTTTTTCCTCAGAGGAACTGAGGAAACTGAGGCAAAACAGCAGCTAAGTCACTTGCCCAGAGTCACATAGCTAGTAAGGACCTGAGGCAGGATTTGAACTCAGATCTTCTTGAATCCAGCCCTCCATCTGATGTGCCACCTAAAATGCAGGGTGAGTGGAAATTATATAAATGAAAACAATCAAAGCAAATAACTCAGATTCAAGGCCAATAATAGTTCCAAAGGACAGATGATGAAATACACTTGCCTCCTCTGGGCAGAGAAGTGGCAGGTTGTAGGGCCCGAATGCTATGTACACTGACAAACCATGCTCTGTACGGGCTGACTTTGACGAGCTGTTTTTCTTTGTGACAAGGAAGGGCTCGATATTGAGGTGGAAGGGTAAGAAATATTGGGAAATATTTGTGGCTTAAAAATCATAGGCTCCTTTGGGGCAGCTATGTAGTACAGTGGATAGAGCACCAGCCCTGGAGTCAGGAGGACCTGAGTTTAAATCCAGCCTCAGACACATATCACTTACTAGCTGTGTGACCCTGTGCAAGTCACTTATCCCCAGTTGCCTCACCAATAAACAAAAAATCATAGGTATCATTAAAATGAAATTTAAAAAGATCTTTAACACCCAGTATTCCTAAGAATCTAAATACTCTCATCTAAATACCGAACAGGCCTAACACTGCTAAACCTGGAGATCAGGTACATCCCTATCAGAGTAAGGAGAGACAGTAGGAGGTTACATATCTTTAAAATAGAAACATTAAATATCATATACACAGAGATGGTTTTGCCACAGACAAGCACTTACAATTTTTCGAGGAGGATTGAATTCAGTGTTGTAAACTCGGCCAGAACTTGGGTGAATCCAGCGAGAGGTGAGACGTTGCTTAATAACCTCAAAGGGTACATTCAGATCAATCACTGTATCTATCTGGTAGGCTTTGTCCAGGGCTTCAGCTTGTGGGACAGTCCTGGGGAAACCTTTTTTTTTTAATTTAAATAAAGAAGAGGAAAAAAATATTATTGGATTTCTCACACCCAAAAATTAACCTACCAACTGAAATCCAGTTAAGTTAACCACAGATACTTGGATAATTTTTCTAAGGCCCATAATTCTGCCTCACATACTTTGTAGTTGTATGATGTTAAACAAGTCACCTACCTCTAAAATTCATTTCCCTTATCTTTTTCTTTCTTTTCCTTTTCTTTTGGAGGCAATCTGAATTAACTTGCCCAGGGTCACACAGCTAGTAAGTGTCTAAGGCCAGATTTGAATTCAGATCCTCCAAATTGTCTCTAAGGTCACTTCCAACTCTAGAACTATGATCTTATAAACAATAATAAATGTTTATTTGTTATTATACTGATCAATGGCACTGAAAAATTATAATGCAGTCATGGGAAAGGTTCTCAATATTCTACCTCAACTCTTTCTTGCTTAAAATTAAAACAACTCTGAGGTACCACATCACACCTATCAGATTGGCTAATATGACAGAAAAAGAAAATTATAAAAATTAGAGAAGATGTGGGAAAATTGGTGTACAAGTGCATTGTTGATGGAGTTGTGAACTGATCCAACCATTCTGAAAAGCAATTTGGAACTATGTCCAAAGGGCAACCAAACTGTACATACCCTTTGATACAGCAACATTACTAGTCTGTATCCCAAAGAGATCATAAAAAGGGGAAAAGGACCCACATGTACAAAAATATTTACAGCAGCTCTTTCTGTGGTCGCAAAGAACTGGAAAGTAAAGACATGCCTATAAATTGGGGAATGGCTGAATAAGTTGTGGCATGTGAATATAATGGAATATTATTGTGCCATAAGAAATGATGAGCATGCAGATTTCAGAAAAACCTGAAAAGGTTTACATGAACTAATGCTGAGTGAAGTGAGCAGAACAAGGAGTACACAGCAACAGCAACATTGTACAATGATTAACTATGATAGACTTAACTCTTTTCAGCAATACAATGATCCAAGACAATTCCAAAAGACTTGAGATGGAAAATGCTAACCATCCAGAGAAAGAACTATAGAGTCTGAATGCAGATCAAAGCATATTATTTTCATTTTTTTTTCTTTCTCATGGTTTTTTCCTTTTGTTCACATTCTTCTTTCACAACATGACTGAAGTGTAAATATGTTTAACATGATTGTACATGCATAACCTAAAAAAAGAACAAAACCTCTTTCCTGCTTAATTATTAGCTACAAAGGTAATCTGGTTTTGTACCTTGTGGATCACTGGGTACAGGAACAGAGTGTATCAGAAAGAATATGAGATTAAATTGCTCAAGGTCACATGGCTAACAAACATTGGAGCTTATCAAATTCTTTCCTGACTACGAGAGCAGCTCTTTTTCCACAATATCATCACCTTATTATCCTTCTATCTCCTTTTCTTCTCCCTTGGACTTTCCCCATGAGTCTGAATGAAATTAGACCTACCCATTCTTTTTAAGGAAATTGTAATACTGTAGACAATCCTCAATTTTTCAATGGATTATTATCCCAAAATTCATCAATTTCAATGAGAAAATATATTCCAAATTCTAGCTAACAAACTCAGACTGCTAGAGTGGGCCCCAAGCCAGCCCAGTAAAACCTATTTTACATAACATATAAAAATAATAGTAACTGGGATTAACATAATCCTTCAAAGTTTGCATAGCATTTTACATACTTCTGTCCCATTTGATCTTCACAATAACCCTGTGAGACAAGTACTGAAGTTATTATATCCATTTTGTAGATGAAGACACTGAAGCTTAGTCTACTCTTTTACACAGTATGTATATCTTGTACACACATTTTTTTTTTACTTATTTATACCATTAGGGTATTCCTTGAAGGCAAAGACTGTGTTTTGGGGCTTAGCATGACATCTGGCACAGAATTCAGGTTTAATCATTCCTTGTTGAGTGACTAACTGGCTTGCCCAAGATCCCACAGCTAGTAAGTATTAAGGAAGGTTTTGAACCCAAGTCTGATTCTGAATTCAGCTCTCCAACACAATCCTATGCTAATAACTCACATCTTTGTAGTTTTAGGGTTCACAAAGCACTTTCCTCACAGCTATTGTGTGAGACAGGAAGTATGTGGATTGGTGCTATGAAACCTAACCAACACATGCTATGGCCAGAGGAAATTCATTCAGGGTTTCACCTGAAATGCTAGGAGCATATCTCTACATATCTCCCATATGCACTGCTCCCTTGATAGACAGAGAAACAAAGGTTCCTTCACTTCCAAAGAAGGGGCTTTCATGGTCCAGGACAAGGGTTAGGGATTAAACGAGGTCAGGTGCATCAATGAAGAGTTATAGGGGTTCATGGATAAGAATTAAGCTAAAAGTTCTAGAGTAAGGAATGTGAGGAGATAAGTACTGGAGGTGTGGGGTGCACATGGCTCTCTTACATTTATCCTCAGCTAAAACTGTCCTTGCTTCTACTTTTCTATTGTCTTTTTATTTTTCTAAATCAAAGTTGGTTAAGGAGTCTCCTATGTGCCCACACAGGCCTCTTTACCCAACTCCTTCTTTTCTTCCTCATTAGAAGTTAGTTGGGAACCTCTGAAAGCCCAGAAAATATCACCCCAGGAAAACCCTGGAACAGCTGAACCAGAAGAAGGATGGGGTATAGCAATCCAATAGCCCAAGTAGCTTGAGGGACCAACAGGAAAGGCCCCTCTTGCCCTGGGGGAAGAGGAACAGTACAGAATGGGAGGCATCCTAGTAAGCTAGCAGAAAGCCCCACCTCAGCATACAAAGAGGAGATCCTGAAACCCAGGTGGTGGAACAGGCAAACACCAACACTTGGACCCCCAGTACCTCAGTGAGGGAGGGGGAACTAGTAGAAACCAGCTTGGAAAACCACCAGGTGCCTCGGCATTCTACAGCAACTGCCTCTCCCAGTGCCTCAACAAAACTAAGGGAAGCATCGCTCCAAGGGGCCCCAAGCAGATAAACATCCTGCAACATTCATCTGAAAGGAGCTGAAGAAAGTGAAAGGAAGGAAAGGCCTGGGTGAGCAGGAAATCTCCAGGAGCCACACTACCCAATCCTACCCCCAGAGTTCCAGTGTTGCTGATTCCAGCCCAATACCAGGTAAGCTGCCAGAACCCTATAGCCTCCAACTGCCAGGATTGGAGGCCCCAGCACACAAAGCTAGTGACCAGGCCCTAGATTCCCAACACAAGAAGCTTGGGTCAGGACCCTCTGTTCCCCAGCAGGAGAGCTCAGTCTCTTTAAGGGCTAGGAAATAAGCAAAAACCATGAGCAAAAAGAAATGTATGATAGATTCTTTTTATGGGAAAAGTGAAAATCAAGGCAGAAATTCTGAAGAGGACAATATTGTCAACAAACCCACATCTGGAACCTCAAAAGGGAACTGGTCTGAAGCCCAAAAAGCTTTCTTGGAAGAGCTCAAGAAGGATTTTAAAAGTCAAATGAGAGAGGTAGAAGAAAAAGGGAAAAGAAATGAGAGGTATGCAAAAGAGAGTCAATAGCTTGGAAAAGGAAGGACAAAAATTAATTGTAGAAAACAAGTCCTTCAAAAAAATACAATTGGCCAACTGGGGGGAAAAAAGTACACTGAAGAAAACAAGTCCCTAAAAAATACAATTGGACAACTGGAAAAAAGTACACTGAAGAAAACAAGACTCTAAAAAATACAATTTGTCAAATGGGGAAGGAGGTACAAAATTTAATAGTAGAAAACAATTTGTTAAAAATTAGAATTGGGCAAATGGAAGCTAATGACTCTGTGAGACAGCAAGAATCAGTCAAACAAAAACAAAAGAATGAAAAAATAGATGAAAACATAAAATACCTCATTGGTAAAACAAGTGACCTGTAAAATAGATCCAAGAGAGACAATTTAAAAATTATTGGTCTACCTGAAAATCATGATGAAAAAAGGAACCTGGAAGTACCTTTCAGGGAATCATAAAGGAAAATTGCCCTGAGGTCCTAGAACTAGAGGGTAAAATAGCCATAGAAAGAATCCACCAATCACCTCCTGAAAGAGATCCCAAACTGAAAACACCGAGGAATATAGTAGCCAAATTCCAAAATTAACAGGTCAAAAAGAAAATACTGCAAGCAGCCAGAAAGAAACAATTTAAATATCATGGAGCCACAGTCAGGATTACACAGGACCTTGCAGCTGCTACATTAAAAGATCAGAGGGCATAGAATATTCCGTAAGGCAAAGGAGCTTGGATTACAACCAAGGATCAACTACCCAGGGAAAATGAGCATGATCTTTCAGGGGAGGAGATGGATGTTCAATGAAATAGGGGGCTTCCAAACCTTCCTGATAAAAAGACCAGAGATCAACAGAAAATTTGATCTTCAAATACAAGACTCAAGAAAGACATAAAAAGGTAAATGGAACAGAAAAAAAACATGTTATTAATAAGGGCAAACTGTTTACATCCCTACAAGGGAAGATGACACTTGTAACTCTTGAGAACAGTACTGTTATTATACCATGTTAAAGGGGTATACATAAAGAGGGTGGGTATAAATTGACTTTGATGTAATGATAAAAAAAATCTAATCAAGTGGGTTAAATGGATCCAAGTAAGTGGATTAATCTGATCTAACTAAGAAAATGTACTGAGAAAAAAGAAAAGGAGGAGACAGACAAGGCTAAATTATATTAAATTAAATCACTTGAAGAGGCACAAAGACCTATTACAGCAGAGGGAAAGAAGGGAGGGAGATGAGCATTGTTTGAACCTTACTCTCATCAGATTTGGCTCAAGAAGGGAATAACATAATCAGTTAGGTATAGAAATCTAACTTTCCCTATATGCAGTAGGAGGGAAAAGGGGAAAGAAAAGGGAAGGGAGATAGAAGAGAGGGAAGAAGTAGTAAGGGTAAAGGGGAAGGAAAGGGAGGGGGCTAATAGAAGAGAGGCAGGACTGAGGAAGGCGGTGGTCCAAAGCAAAACACTAGTGAGGAAGGGAAAGGAGAAAGAAAAGCATAAAGTGGGGGAAGGATGGAGAGAAAGACATAGATAGTAATCATAACTATGAATGTGATATATGAATGTAATGGAATATTATTATGCTATAGAAATGATGAACAGGCAGACTTCAGAAAAACCTGGAAAGACTTGTATGGTCTGATGCTGAGTGAAGTGAGCAGAATTAGGAGAATGTTGTACAAAGTAACAGCCATGCTGTGCGATGACTAATATTGATAGACGTAGCCCTTTTCAGCAACATAAGGATCTGAGACATCTCCAAAGGCCTCATGATGGAAAATGCTATCCACATCCAAAGAAAGAACTATGGAATTTGAATGCAGATAGAAGCATCGTTTTTGCTTTTTTTTTCTTCTGTTGTGTTGTTTCCTTTTTTTGTTTTTTTGGCAATTGGGGTTAAGTGACTTGCCCAGGGTCACACAGCTAGTAAGTGTCAAGTGTTTGGTCTGAGGCCACATTCAAACTCAGGTCCTCCTGACTTCAGGGCTGGTGTTCTATCCACTGTGCCACCTAGCTGCCCCTTGTTTCCTCTTTCCTGTGGTTCCTCCTATTGGTTCTAATTCTTACCTACAACATCACTGATATGAAAGTATGTTTAATGAGAATGTATTTGTATAGCCTATATCAGTTTGTGCACCATCTTGGGGAGGGATGTGGGGAGGGAGGAGAAGAAAAATTTAAAACTCAAAAGCTTATGGAAGTGATTGTTGGTAAATCAAAATAAATTAATTTTTTTAAAAGTTAATTGTGTCTTCCAGGATTAGACTGCTGTGGCCATTTAATAATTCATGATGGTCTTCTGACTTTTGAAGAATTAATCAATTGCTCTGCTTTTGGCACAGAATGAGTTCTAGCTGGCTCCCTGTGTGGGTTTAAAGCCAGGCTCCATTTGTGTGTGTGTTAGAGAGAGAAAAAGAGATAGAGATGAAACAGACCTTACGCAAACTTTCTAAATTTTATGGGCTTTGGTTTTCTTACCTATAAAATGAGAGGGGTTGACTAAGTGACTTCTGAAGTCCTCTTTCACTATAAAATCCTATGATCCATCAATACTGTATATTTCTAATACAAAGTTTATGGCTGGATTTCATAATACCTTGCCTTTTTCCTTCTTCTGGCCAAGTGGTCTGTAGTACACTTTTATAGCTCTAATGTTTCTTTTTGTCTCTGAATGATCCTCATCATAGATTCTGTCACATAAGTTTATCTTCTTCAGATATATATGTATATATGTACATATATAATATATTATAATATTAATATAGTATTATACCATTACAAACTGTATTCTAATACTATATTTCTTTTATTCCTTTTGAATGAGGTGTGACTGGAATATGACTACATCCCATTTCATCAAATCTCAGTGATATCAATGAAGTTGAATTTATCTCTTTGTGATAAGATCTCCTATTTACTTTGCTTATTACCTATACTTTGTGCATCTGCACGTAGGCATCTGAAGACTTGAGTTTTATTGTTGGATCTCTTCTTGGATATTTTCTTTTATGAATTACTGATCCCCTCTGTTGATACCACTTTGTGGTATCTAGCTTGGTGGATATATGTGGACAGTTTTCTTTCTCTTCTTCCATTTTCATTTTAAGCCCTTTTGACCAGATTTTCAATGTTCCAAACAAATATATTCTTACTAGCTCTTCAAATCAATCAGTCAACAAGAATGTATCAAGAACCTATTTTGTGGGGGCAGTTAGGTGGCACAGTGGATAGAGCACCAGCCCTGAAGTCAGGAGGACCTGAGTTCAAATGTGGCCTGAGACCAAATACTTGACACTTACTAGCTGTGTGACCCTGGGCAAGTCACTTAATCCCAATTGCCTTTGAAAAAAAAAAAGAACCTATTATGTAGTAGGCCTTATATGAATGACTAAGGATACAAAGACAAAAGTCAAACAGTTCCTGCCCTCAAGGCACTTATAGTCTATTCTAATTGAAAGATAATAAGCACAAATAAGTATATATATAGGACATATACAAGCCACATGTAAGTCAGAATTCTAAATCCTATTTTCGGTGACCATGTTCTTAACCAGATGTTTGCTTTCCAAACCCTCCTCTCTTCCAAAATTTCTACTTTTAACTGACAGTGGTATAAAGACCTTACTTATGTCCCAAAAGTCTACAGTTTCCTGCCCAAGACTTCATCCATCATGTCTAGGTTCTTTTTATCAATATCATCAGTATCTACATGAATCATCAGGAATGAGTGATAGTATGAAGATTTAACACCTCTCAGGAAGTTCCCTGTAATATTCTAGATACATATTAACCGCACCTTAGTACCCCTTAACAGATAATCATCAACCACCACGACTCTTTTGCCTTCTGCCTTTGAATAATCTGTTACTGGATAATCTTTCGCATGATGGCAGCTATGGATCCATCCAACAGTTGCTTGGACACAAGAAAGAAGCCACTTTTTCAGATGGTCCAACTTTGCTGTCTACAAAAAGAGCCTCAAATTTGTTACAGACCTTAACATTTGGCAGTTCTTCCTTCCTTTGTGTCCCATTCTTCCGTTCTCTGATCTTCTGGTACATGGTAAGCTACTCCTCAGCCTCTTCCGTGTCTTTGTTCCTTCTTTGTTTCCCTTTTGAAGTATGTGGAATATTTTCCTGGAATACTCCATTCTCCCTCATAAGCTAGAGTAGAGACACGTATCTCTAATCATTTCTAACTTGCATTTTACTTCATAATATTCATTCCCTTCCCTTTAAACTTCCTAGCAATAGGTTCCATGCTGCTCTGTTATTCCTGTGGCAGCTGACTGCTCAGGAAATGTTTCTATCTTGCCTGGTACTCATTATATTACACAATACTTTGTCTTACACCTCTCATGCACTTATCATACAATATTATATGTTATAGCCATCTGTGTTTGTGCCTTATCCCACATCACATGAAGGCATGAACTATGTCTTGCCTAAACTCTATGTCCCTTCAAGAGCTAACACAATGTTCTTCCAGCTCTAAGTACCTAAATAGTGAATGAATTAGTAGCTAGAGCAGCAGAGAACCAAAGGCTAATTCATTCTATAGTCTTGGATATATCCCTTCATTTCTCTGGGCCTTGATCTTCTCATCTCTAAAATAAAAGTGTTGAACTAGGACATTTCTTAATATTCCTTCCAGCTGTAACTTTCTATGATCCTATGAAAATGCCTACTGACTCCAGTAGGGACCCATATAGATGTGCAAATTTGATTCTTCTTGGACTTCCTCCCTTCCTCCCAACTCATTTGTATCCCTCCATTGAAAAAAGGAGAAATGAAAAAGGATTGAGGTTGAAATAGCCTGCTCAAAAATGTTCATTCTTTTAGGTTCTTGTTTTGAACAGCACCTGTGAAATTTAGTCAATGGGTTCGCTTACCATCCAATAACCAGCTACAATGAGCTAGATTTTTCAGTTCATGGAGGGCCAGCCGGGTCATGACATCATCTGGTATGAGTTTCCCCTGATCAATGAAGGTCTTGGCAAGTACACCAATTTCTGTAGGAGAAATAAACCAGAGAATCAGTTAAAATTAGTCAAAGCTTGCTTAGATGCCCTCCAAAGCCACAAGTGGCTTGATTTGACAGACAGGGCCTCTGGGAGAGCCTAATATTATTAGTCTCCACAAAAGATTCAATTTGCTAGAACAAATCCAATCCTAATCTAAGTACTACTTAATATGTGTATAGAGATATTCTAGTCCTCTAATTCAAGGCATTCATGGAAAAGTAGAAAGAGCACTTGTCTTGGAATCAGAAAACCAGAATTCATATCCTCACAGCTTCCTTGAGCAAGGTACCTAATCTGAGTCTCAGTTTCTTCATCTGTAAAAAACGACAATGACACTTATACTAGCTACCTCCAAGGGTTGTATGGATGAAATGAGATAATGCCTCTAAAGCACTTTGTAGCCATAAAGCACTAACGGCAAGTTTGCATAATACAATTCAGATTGAATAAGTAGTCATCATCCCAGCCTCCATCAACATTTTCCTCCAAGCTTCAGTGTGGTATGAAAATATCCTTAAAGGTTATGTCAATATAATAAAAGCTCAGGAAGGTCCTACCAAGCTAGAAACAAAAGATAACTGGGCAACACACTGTGGGTCAATCTTCCAGGAATCATGAGAAGTAAGTTTGGAAAGAAGTGTTGTTACCTGAAGGAAGATTGGCCAGCAGATGAAGACTTCCTTTGTTGGTTATAAAACTGAAAACTGATTTTAATTCTATTTTGATAAGACTTAATCAAGCTAGATTTAATATTCTCTTTAGTGGTTCCTTCCTCTTGTAAACTTCACCCATTACCCACATCCTAGAGAAACTTGCCTATAGGTCAAGCTTTTGTCCTTTAATTATCTCCACCTTTGTAGCTCCACCCTTCACCCACTTTCCAGGGAAACCTGGTTAACTTGAAAGTCAAATCTCATCATTTTAAACTATTGAAGCAACTTCCATCACCCCGCAGACTAATCTCATAGCCCAGGAACCTTTGTCTTTGTAATAACACATCTTGGCTGTGGTCAAGTGGGGTTTCAGAAGGGGAGGTCCAAATGATATAATCTCAATCCTGACTATGTCATGAATAGCCAATAATAAGAAGAAATACCTATGTTGCTTAAAATCTTGCTCTGTTATCTTGCTAATTGTTTTTTTTAAAGACCCCGTCAGCCCTCACTCAAGATATTTGGTCATCGAGACATGCCATTGACCCCATTTATTGATAAGTGCTACCCTTACTAACAAATGGATCATGTTTGGAATTTTGTCTCTCAGAATTTCTCTCATGACATGGTCATAGTAACTTTAAAACTAAGGCACAAAATTGTAATTTGTGTCAGTAGAAAGAAGACTCATGAAAGCAAGGACCTTGTGAAGAAACATAAATGACCTTGTATCCAAATTCAGTAAGTTTTCAACCAGCTAAATACTCTGCTCTTTGATGAATTCCTGAAGTGAATTTAAAGAGACCCCCCCTCACGCCCACAAATCTTTTCAGTTAGAGTTTCAAAGGGTTAATTCAGAAAGACCTCAGAGTACACAATTCAGCAGAAAAACATACCCACAAATTTTCATTTCTGTCATTTTCCTTTACATTTACATGTATGGAAAGCTTTGATTGCCTGAGACAATCTACCCCTCATTTTAACAGTGGTTTGTAAACTTTGCTCTGAGGAGTTAGGAAGTTTTGGGCCAGCTTGCTTAAAACTGTTTTTAAAAATCTGTTTTAAAAAATACATAACCTTAACTGATGAGAGATCACAACTCTCCTTTGAGTCTCTATGAGTGAATTATTCAATGAACCATAATTCCTTAAAATTTGACTAAATTCATTATATATAGATATAGATAGTGATTTACATTTATTCTGACAATAGCTATGTGGCTTTAAGATTTGCAAGTGCTTTACAAATATTATCTCACTTTATCCTCAAGAAAATCATGGGAGGTAGGTGATATTATCACCATTTTACAGGTGAGGAAACTGAGGCAGACAGAGGTTAAGTGACTTGCCCAGGGTCAAACACCTACTAAGTACCTGAGGTCAGATTTGAATTCAAGTCTTCAGGTTCAGCAATCTATCCACTGCTCCACCTAGCTGCCCTAGAGGAGGATACTAAAGCTAAAAGGATTAAAAAAGCCCGTGCCATACACTGGCAGATCTGGACTTTTAAGTTGTGCAGATAGTACAGGACAGAGGTAAAAAAAAATTTTAAAAAGAAAAATAGATCTGTTCAGCAGTTTCCTATAAAGTCATCTCCTGGGAGATCATAGTAAGTATAATGGGTTATTGCTTCATGTTTTAAGTATTTGTTATAAGGGGCAGTATGATGATGCAGTGGATAGAGCACCAGCTCTGGAGTCATGAGGACCTGAGTTCAAAGGTGACCTCAGACTAGCTGTGTGACCCTGGGCAAGTCACTTAACCAGATTGCCTCACCAAAAAGCAAAAAAAAAAAAAAAGCATTTGTTATGTACATTTTTAAAGAATGTCTTTTGTGGTAGGAAATAAATAGCTGCCTCATCCCCAATATCTACTTTGTACATTGAGTACATTTTCTAGAAGGGATCTTGTTAATCTTTTTTAGTGGAGATCTTTAACATTAGCTGTCCCTAAGTTGCTCAAAAGGTTTTCCCAAGCACTCCTGAGTGGGGTGGGGGGGAGGGGTGAAGGAGGCACAGTATGCAAAAAAAAAAACCCTGTGATCTTTATACTGGGGAGAGGCCCTCTCAGGATTGGATCCAAGCCTTGCTTAAGTGTAGAGAAGGAGGACTTCATGGAAGAGAACTCAGCCCTTCCCTGAAGTGTCAAAGGCTATGCCAGCACTGCACAAGCTCTGGCAGGCCCTAAGATGTTAGAAAGGTTTTAAGTATGGGCCCAATGATAGATTTCATATCAACTGACTGTGGGCAAGAATGATCTAACAGCCAACAAGCATTATTAAGTGTTTACTGTATGCCAGGTACTGTCCTTAGTGCCTGGGTAGGTAGACACTAGCTGGGGAGGATCATCACCACGTTGGCTGCAGCATGAAGAATTTTTCAGTCACAATAACTCTTTTTTTTTTATGTTTCTTTGTTTTTGTGAGGCAGTTGGGGTTAAGTGACTTGCCCAGGGTCACACAGCTAGTGAGTATCATGTGTCTGAGTCCAGATTTGGACTAAGGTCCTCCTGACTCCAGGGCCAGTGCTCTATCCACTGCGCCACCTAGCTGCCCCCACAACAACTCTTGAAGACAATTTATCAAATCAGAAAATAGCTTTGGTGGTAGAAATATCCACAACGATGAAATCAGAGTTTCTTCAAGTATGGCTTAAACATTTTTTTTAAGTTTTCAACTTGAATTCAAAGCCTTTGAAGTTTGAGACCAGCCATTGCATACACAATAAATACTTGGTGACTTATAATCTGAAATGATTTTTAGAATAAATAGGTTGGGGGGGGAAGCAGAAATATATACATGTCATTTTGCTTTTTTTCTTTAATTTATGAATAGATTGGGGTGAGAGGATAACCCATTGGTTAATAAGTAACCCCTGCCTAAATTTTTTTTAAAACTCATGAGGCTTGGTGGGACAGTGGCTAGAGTGTCAGATCAGGAGTTGGGAAGCCTTGAATTTAAATACTGCTTCAGACACTAACTGTGCGACCCTGGGCAACTCACTTAACCTTGGTTGGCTTCCGTTTCCTCATCTGCAAAATGAGGATAATAGCACCTACTTCCTACGGTTCTTCTCCGGATAAAATGAGATAATATTTGCAAAGGGCTTTGCAAACCTGCTGTTATTTTTTGTTATTGAAATTTAACTATCACAAGAAGTTAATTTTTTGCAGTTATAAGCACAAGCAAAACAGAGAGTGGGAGTGTCAGATAGTTAACATGCATATTGTGGAGTTAGAGAAAGAAGAGAGGGTAGATGCCCAGTTTTGAGAATTATTATAAGAAATTTCAAATTTAGAACAGCTCATATTTTTATTCCCTTTTAAGATTTGCAAAAGACTTTCCTCACAAAACCCCTGTGAGATAGAAAATTCAGGTATTAACATCCCCATTTCACAAATGAAGAAACTGAAGCCCAGAGAGACAGAATCACAGATTGTGTTGCAAGCTTGGCTCCAACTTCAGCCTTCTTCTTTTAATTCCAGCTGGAATTAGAACCCATTTCTCCTGGATTAAAGACAACTACCATTCATTCCACCGTAACACACTGACTACATACTTAGCTTTATATCTCTTCCACAGTGACTAATATCAAACATTTATTAAGCACTTAGCATATGCCTAGTACTGGGTATGGAAAGACAAAAATTAAACAGTCACCAAGAAGCGTATATTCTTTTGGAAGCACAGCACATATACAGATAATTATATACCAAAATAAATAAAAAGGAAGGAGAAGGCAGTAGGAGCTAGGGGGATCATAAAAGGCTTCATAAAGAAGGCAACATGCAAGGTGAGCTTTGAAAGAAGCTAGGTTTTCTAAGAGGCAGGGGTAAACATGGACAGCATTCTAGGCATAGGGGGCACAGTCAAGTACAAAGACACAGAGATGGTAGATGGAGTATCATGTGTGAGAAGAAGGCCAGTTTGGCTTTAGCACAGAGTATGGGAAAGGGAGTAGTGTCTTATAAGGTGACCTAGGTCTTTGAGACTAATTTCAAGAGCCATAGAAGTGATCAGGTTCTAGTTACCAGAAGAAGCTAGGTTGCTCAATACATGGAGCACTGGGCCTGGAGATAGAAAGACCTGAGTTCAAATCCAGCCTCAGACACTTAACTAGCTGTATCCCTTAACCTCAGTTTGCCTTGATCCAATGGAGAAAGAAATGGCAAACCACTCCAGTATCTTTGCCAAGAAAACCCTACAGCCAATATCGGTATGCTGTGGCCCACAAGGCCATAAAGAGTTGAACGCAATGTCTGCTAAGCAAACTTAAAGGAGCAATGCTTCAAAGAATGCTTATTAACTCAGTATGCAAGTAAAAAAGTGATGACAAAA